TTCCTGCTGCTTTGAAAGCATTCAGGATAGAATAAGGCATCAAAAGCAGAATACTTGAACTCCTTTAGGATTTGGACAAATGGTTGTAAAAATCTTAGTCCTAAGGAACGATCTGCAAAATTTAAACCAGGTATCCATGACCTCCAAGAACAGTCACATACAACAGATGGGACTTTGGACCTGCCTTAACTACTATGTTGTGCACTTCTTCCTGCTTAGTTACTGAATCCAGTTCTATCTTCATCAGTACTACAGGAGTATCTCCGCTATTAGTCTTTACTTTCATGAAAGGCCAATATAGTACTTCCCTGCCCACCTTCCCACACAATATCCTCTGAAGAATCTCAAAGAACTAAATACTAGTGAAGTGCAACACAGAAGCAAAGCTAACAAACAAAACTGAGATCAGCCAATAAAGCACTTTTCAAATGCCTCACTTCAAATGAAAACATTAATAACATGGCTGTATTTTCTATTTTCAGAGTTTCCAAGGTAACAAACTAAGCTTTTAAAAGCATTCAAGCCTTTTTATCTAACTATAGACTAAAGCAGTTTAAGTTGTCATTACTCTGTTTAGAGGCAACCTAGATTTGGCACTAGAAACTAGCAGCACTTTAGAAACTAGACTTGTGTTTAAATAAAATTGGCTTTTGGTGTTTATGTGTAACTTTTTGATTTGCTAAAACTAGCATCCATTTATGTTCAAAAGGCAACATGAGGAAAAAACCTGTATGTGCCATGGTTTTTTTTTTTTTTTTTGCCTTTTTTTTCCTTAAACGGGATGAAACCATATCCTTTGTAGGCTAAACCCTTACTTTTTCAGAAGATCAAGCTGTGCACTCTTAACTGACAAGTGCAGCATGATACACAGGGTCCAAGTCTGTGTGCTTGCAGCCATTATAATAGAGCCTTACAGCAAAGGCCTTACAAAGTTTACTAATCCTTTCAATAACAGGTGAAAGAAAGGTAACTTGATGGATTCCTTCTCATCACAACAGCTTACTGACCAAGCATGGCTGCTATAATCTGTACAGACTGACAGTGGTTTTCCATAGCATACCCCGTCATCATTGACTATGCTTATAGAATTATCAAGAGAAATTCAATGGTTGGGGGATGACAGGAATTTGTCTGGAGGCAGCTTTAGCTGCTTTCTGCCATTGGGTTAGGGCTGTGGTACACACAAATATTGTCACATGCTAAATTCACCTCTTACCACAGCAGCAGATATTACACTTTGTAATTTACAGTCCTTTGTTTTGTAATTGGAATGATGAATGCCTACATGTATTTAAATAACACAATATAGAGCCTTTGAAATTAAGAGCGAATTCCTGGTATTTGGTTTTGCCTTCAGAGGCCACACAAACTGGACAACACATAGTCTCTTCTTTTCCTCCTGAGTGTATTAGTGCAGCTAAATCAAAGTATGTTTCAGCTCTTAACAAAATACTCTAATGTCAGCACCCTGAACTACTCTGCCTTGGACAGCTCTTGTTTTACCACAGTGCTAAATGTTCCACATAGGTCAATCCCTCTAAATAACTGCTTCTCTTCGAAGTTTCATTTCACACGAATTTGGGGTTGAAACTTGTCACCTCCTATGCGAGAAAGGGAAAATCACCCACTTACTTCTCAGGGCAGAATACTAAAAAAGTAAAAACAAAATTCACACACAGCTAAAAGGCCTGGTTCTCAATCCTTCCAGTGTCTGCAAAAAGTACATCCGGCCCTAGCTTATAGGAAACTTGTGCAAGCCTTACTCCTTCCCTTACAGCCAAAGTCTATTACGCTACTGTGGCTTCAGCTCTCTGTTGAACCTGAGGGAACCGACCCTCTGGTTCAGGGTCCAGGGATAACAAAGGGAATTCCGATTAAAGACACGGGGCAGCTTCGGTCGCAAAGGCCCACTTGAGAAACAGGCAGGTAATTTTAAAGTCAAGCACGTATATTCCTACACAGACCAACTACGATAGGAAAGAAGTGACTCTTTTGTACCCAAGGATGCCACTACCAAAATGCAGCGAAACTACACTGACTCCTCCAGAAATCACTCGCAAGAGAGAAGCTGTTTTCTGACAATGCTGCAAAGAAGTACACCAAAATTGCTCTTACTGGTTTAAACACACCGCACATCGTCTCGATCAGGCCGTTCTTCCTTTACTCCCTCCAAAAATACTTAGGTTATCCCGACTAGCTTCCAACGCCAGGATTATTTTTTTATATGCGTTACACAAAACACGCTCGCATTTACACCGACGCCGCTGGCGATCGGTCACGCAGTCCCCAGAAAGTTTGAACCAGCCCACCCCGCGACAGAAAACAACTCCTTCCATCCGCTCCTTTCGTTAAAAAGGGAAAGGATGAGGAAAACGCGGGGCGCGAAGCGAGCCGCGGCATATCCCCTTCCATTTTACAGTCTGAGAAGGCAACAAACCC